TCTTCACAGATGATGTGATCCAGTTCAAAAGGTTGTAGGACACCAGATCAATGTACAAAAAATTAATTCTATTTCTATATTATGGAAACAATACAAAAAGTAATTAAATTCATAGCACCATTAATTTCACAAAAGAAGTGCAAGAGTTACACATTGAGAACTACAGAAATTGCTGAGGAAAACAAGACGTAAATAACAGCAGAGACATTACATGTTCATAAATTGGCAATCCCAAAATTGTTAAGTTGGCAGTTTTTCCCAAATCAATCTATAGATTCAATAAAATCCCCACCAGGCATGGTGGTTCACACCTGTAATCCCAGCACTTTGGGAGGCTGAGATGGGCGGATCACAAGGTCAGGAGATCAACACCATCCTGGCTAACATGGTGAAACCCCGTCTCTACCAAAAAAAAAAAAAAAATTAGCCAGGTGTGGTGGCGGGTGCATGTCGTCCCAGCTACTTGGGAGGCTGAGGCAGGAGAATGGCATGAACCCGGGAGGCTGAGCTTGCAGTGAGCCAAGATCACGCCACTGCACTCCAGCCTGGGCAACAGAGCGAGACTCCATCTCAAAATAAATAAATAAAATCCCGATGAAATTCCTATAGAATTTTTTACAGAAATTGGCAAGCTGATCTTAAAATATATGTGGAAATGCAAAGGACCCAAAGTAGTCAAAGCAATTTTGAAAAAGAACAAAGTTAAAGGACTTAAAAAATCCAACTAACTAACTATAATTAAAGTCATCAAGACAATGTGTTGCTGGTATATGGAGAGGCATATAAGTTAATGGGACATAGTTTAGAACTCAGATATAAACTCTTACATTTATGATCAATTCTTGACAAAGGTGCTAAGTCAATTCAATGGGGGAATAGCTAGTCTTTGCAAGAAATGATGTGAGGACAACTGGATATCCATATGCAAAAAGATTAATTTAGACCCTTACCATGGACCTCAAAAAAAATGGTTCACAGATCTAAATGTGCGAGTTAAGAGTAAGTGTAAGAGAAAGGATATGAAATGATCTTTGTAACTTTAAGCAGAGTCCTTAGCTATAACACCAAAAGCATGATTGCTAAAAGAAAAAACATAAATTGGAATTTATCAAAATTAAGAGCTTTTATACTTCAAAAGCTTTTTCTTACACCATTAAGAAAAAAAGACAAGCCACAAATATGGAGAAAATATTTGCAAATCATATTTCCCATTAAGTACTTGTATCCAGAATATATAACAACTCAACAATAAAAAGACAACTTGATTTTAAAATGGATAAATGATACAAACAGAGGGCCAGGCATGGTGGCTCATAATTGTAATCCCAGCACTTCAGGAAGCCAAGGTGGAAGGATTGCCTGAGCCCAAAGGGTTCAAGATCAGTCTGGGTAACATAGTGAGACCCTGTCTCAATTTGAAAAAAGAGATTAATTCAAAAAGATACAAATATAGATTACATCAAAGAAGCTTTATTAATTCCTAATAAGCACACTAAAAGACACCTAACATCGTCAGTCATTATAAAATGCAAATTAAAATCATGAGATACACACTAGAATGGCTATAATCAAAAGGACTGATAAAAAGTGTTTGTATGAATGTGGAGAAACTAGAACCCTCATGCATTGCTGGTAGGGATGTTAAGATTGTGCAACTACACTGTAAAAACTGCTTTTCTTACAATGTAATTTCTTAAAATCATAAATATAAACCTACCTATATGACAGCAATTCCACTCCTAGGTTCTACCCAAGAGAAATGAAAACATATTTTCACATAATGATTTGTATGCAAATGTTCATAGGAGCAAATTTATAATAGCCCCAAGCAAGAAATAATAGTAATTCCAAAAAGTGGTGAATGGATAAATATGGTACATCAATTCAATGGAATAATATTCAGCAATAAAAAAGGAACATACTGCTGATATATTCAGGAACATGGATGACCCTCAGAAACTTTATGCTCAGTAAAAGAAGCCAGACACAAAAATTTACATAACTATATGGTTCCAATTACCTGAAATATTCAGACAAGGCAAATCTATCAAGACAAAAAGCAGATCAGTGGTTATGTGGGACTAAGAATGGAGGAGAGATTGACTGTAAACTAGCATGAGAATACTTTTTGTGGGGATGGAAATGTTCTAAAACTGGATTGTGATGATGGTGTTATAACTATAAATTTACTAAAAACTATTTATATATACTTATAATGAGTGAATTTTATGGTATGTAAATTATATCTCAAGGTGTAAAAATGTGAAAAAATTAAATTATGGGTGGGTTTCAATTATTATAGTATGAATAGGAAATTTAAAGCCATTTTAGAGTAGCCATATCTAAGATAATAGGAACATGATTTTTTAAAAAGCTGGAACAATACAAGCGATTTCAGCAAATTTACAAGAGATGGGGGCTAGTAAATAAATTGTATACTACTATATTATAAAATTGTCTATAATATTGCATTTTTTTTGAGA